AGGTGGTTAGGGGAGGGGGGGGAGTAAGGTGGTGTGTGTGTGTGGTGTGCATAGGGGAGGGGGAGGTAAGGTGGTGGGTGTATGTGTGTGTGTGTGTGTATGTGTGTGTGTATGTGTGTGTGTGGTGTGCATGGGGTGTTTGTGTGTTTGTGTGTTTGTGTTTGTTTGTGTGTGTGTGTGATTGTGGGGGGGGGGGTCTATCAATGTAATTTTTCTGTGGTTTTCGAGTTGCTTAATTCTGCATGTGTGCAGTTTTTGCATGTTTGGACTTGTTATAGTTGCGTTATATTTGCTCTCTCTTTTTAAAAAATGTCTTTCCTCATGAGATATGAGCAGTTGTCATGTGATGTTTCTTCAGTACAAGTTTCATTTCTGTTGCCTATTTTGTTTGTGCTATAAAAATATAGTGCCTTTCACCATCCAGACAGCCTTTTGATTCATTTTGAAGATCGGTCTGTCTATCTTTACTTACATCAGTGAGGACTCTCAGAACAAATTAAGAGTTTTGTATAGAAGCCGGCATGCCAGTTTTTAACTTTGATGTTCTTAAGGTGTCTTTACAATGCGCAGTGCACAGAGAAGACCTCTGAGTGCTCCATCTAACCATGGGGTCTGCGTGGGGAAAACTTAGTAATTCTTTAACTATGCCTGCATTGATATTGGCATGGATCAAATCGAATACTTTGGGTACAGTATCTCTTGGATAACACTTGATGTTTTTTTGTAAGTGTTTAACAGTGCTCACAACTGCATAAGGTCATAGGTCATATATGTCATGACGTGGTGGAATCAGGTGCTCGTCAATTTTTGGGCATATGTGGTTATTGGTATCATCTTAAAGCCTGTTTATTTGCCCTCCTTTTGGTGAAAAAAATATCCATGTTGAATGGAAGTCGAAATACAGTCAAACCTGTGTAAGACGGCCCCCCATTGTCAAGGAGAAAAGTGGCCGTATAAGACAGGTGGCCGTCTTAGTTTTTAGAATTGCCTGGATACATACTTAAATGAAAGAGAAATTGCTCATGCTTTGGCAAATATAGATCAGACCCTTCTTTACTCACACTGGGGGGGGGGACAAATCTCAAACTCCTTGTGGAGAGAGGGTGCAAATACCAGATAGAGAGATTTCTTGATGATATAACGCACAGATTCGGAGGAATGCACACAAATGTACACCCTATGCACACATGTGAAAGCCTCCTTACATGTTAACTCGACTGTGTCCTTGACCCTCAGAGTTCTCATCGCCCACGGCGCCCAGCTGGATGTTCGGGACAAGTGGGGTCAGACACCACTCATGTACAGCGCCACCATACAGTTTACCGAAATTGCTCAGGTTAGTTCGACAGAAAGGTGAATAGGGCTATACAGTGGAATCCTGTTATAACGAGAGGGAGGGGACCGCTGCGAAATGTCCGTTATAGCAGAATTCTCGTTGTAAGGGATCCAGTAATAAATTCAAGGCAAATTGTTAAGTAGGCCTAATCTATGAGTTTGGGGTTCTGTTTATTTCCTTTTGTTATCTCCCCTGATGATGATTTTGTTCAACGTGATCTCTAGGTCTTACTTGATAAAAAAAAAAATGGAATCAGGTTTCCTTCTCTAGCACTAGCAATGTTGACAGCTCGGCGTTGACGATCAGACAGAAGGGGCTCTGGCTCTCGGCTAACTGGCCCGCTGTGTTGTCCCCCACCCCACCACACCCTGTGGTGCGTTGTGTCTGCTTGCGCACGTCACACATTCGCTCCATCCATCTATCACAACATTGTGACCTGTCCATCCCGCACCAGAGAAGTGAGAGGCACAGTATGTCTAGATATTCTAGCTTGGCCTTCCTATCACGCGATGCGTTCTGCTTGTCTGCCCATGCCGCACCCTCCCCACTCTTTCGCTGCGGCATTCATTGTTGGTTCGTGTGGGCTCTCCCATTCTTTGTTTCGCTGGATCATCAACAACTTTCTCAACTGGCGAGGTTTTATAGTATGTTTGATTGGTCTGTGTGCTGTGCACAGCAGCAGCAATATTCCGTTATAATCAACTCGCGTGACGGTCTGATTGCTCAATAGCAGTATTTTATTTACAAAGATAAAGAAGAGAAAAAAAACTTGGTTTTAGAATAGTATCTTTATAACAGACTTCTCGTTATTTCAGGACTCATTATAAGTGGACTCCTCTGTACTGCCTTAAGCTGACAAAGCATCTTTTTTCATTATTGACGCTAACATTTGTTATTTGCTCTATCGACAGCCTGATCAGTTCCCCTACTTGTGGGAAAAAAATCAAAGGGAAACTGTGAAGAGTTTTTGAATAAATTAGAATTCAAACTTTGGAAGAACTCTATTTTTAAATGGTTATGCTGGCAAAAAAGCTCTTTTTCTCGAAAATGCTGTGAATAAAAAAAAGGCATTTTATCAGCTTACAGCAGTATAGGACCGTGGGCGAAAAATTTGTACTAAAAAATATTTGATTAAATCCCATGAAAGATAAACAGAATACAGTCTCACTGTAGTTGGATGCTGTTGGAAAAGTTGATTTAAAATGGCATGCTGACGTCAAGACGCAAACCCACAAATACAATAAGTTGATTGATGTCATGGAACTGGCAATATTACAAAAGTACAGGTGATCTTCCAAACACGCCTTTGCTGACTGCCACTGTGCAGCACCCTGTTTTTTTGCGTGGGTTCTCGCATTTTGGTCAAAAACACATCCCGCACGGCGCACCAACAGTGGAATTTTAGTTGCAGCAAGGGGTTCCCCGCTGAGCGCCTTATCACGTCGGGGTCACGGGGGTCAGCTCCATTTCGCTGCTCTGTCTGGGCTGACTTGAATTTTGGTACTTTTCGACTTAAAGTTTTAGGTGTATCCTTATATTTATGGTAATTATCATTTGATGCACCTAATGCTCGCATTTCTGCTCTTGAGAATCAAAAAAGAACTGACGTTGTAACTTGTCTGGTTATTTCGTTCGAGGTGCTGAAGTCAACAATGCTAAATTGTAGAATGTTTTGGACAAGTGTGAATGAAAAAAAATCAATATTCAATTAACGGCTCAACAAAAACTGTCAAGTGTTTGGAACATGAATGACATAACATTGATAGAGATACTCAGAAAAGATGGTATCTGCGCACAAAATAGAAAGCTGTAATTTTGCAACTGTGTCCATCTGGCAAACAATTCTTTCTTCTTTTATAACTTGACTATTACTACCCGCACAGATTGAAGATTTCTCATGGTAAAAGACATGGTATTCACAGTCAGTTGGAGAGATCTGTCCAGTCATTTTAAAATAAACAATCATTTATCCATAAGTTTATAAATAAAATAGGACAAATTGGGTACTCTACGAACACTTGTCTAGAACAAAAACTAAGGCACAGAAATTAACCGTTTTAATGCAGAATAAATCTCAAGACATTAAGCTTTTAGTACATCAGTGTAATGGTTAGCTGTGTAGGATGGGGCAGAAGTTATATCGTTTCAAACGTAGACAAAAATTCGAACTTTTTAACCAACAGCGTCAAAGTCGCTTCAGGGCTCATTAACCCCGTGACCCGCTTACTAAAGGTAACAGAATCGGGGGGAAAGCGACAGATCTGCGTGTTACCATTATATACCATGCTTGGGTTCACTACCTACGTGACTACTTCAAGTTTTTTTCTTCTTTTATCTTTATGTAGTGAAAAATGATAGAATGTCCATCATTTCACACTTTTGTTACACACACACACACCTACAAACACACACACA